TGTTGCCTCTACTATAGATCATTCAGAGGGTGGAGAGTTTTACTGCAGTGAAACAAATCCGAGGGCTCTGCTTCTTGTTAGCGTGGTTTTTTTCCCCGGCACGTTTTCAGAGGTGCATGAAATACATCAGACAGAACAGAGCTATAATTTGTTTCTTGTGTTAGCTTTTTTCCCCCCCTGTTCCTATCAAAACAAGCTGAGAAATATATGGCTAAATTTCCACGTTACCTTTTTTATTTACCCATTCTCAGAGGAAGAATCCTGTGCTCTCTGAAGTATTTTGCAACTTGATAATTTTGGACCAATTACCTCTGTCTAAACTGGGTCTTAGTTTAAAAAAAGTAGCTGCTGGGATGTCAAACAAGTCTTTGAGGATTGAGGTAAGATTTTAGTGCAATGATTCTTAAGCATTTGAGATATGAGTACCCCTTTTTCTTTGCCTGAGCTCTTAAATACTATTTTATTTCTGTATTTCTAGGATAATTGGATTAATTCTCCTAGCAGAGTTTACTTCACTTACACTTGCATATAATAACCACCTATCCAGGTTTGAGATTAGTTAATCTTGGTAATGTTACTTTAAATTAAAATTATTTTTTTCATGGGAATTATGTTTTTAATACTGCAGGAAGATAAAAAAAAGAGAGGATCATACAGCAAATATAACAGCAAAGCTGGTGGGTTCATTTATCTTTAATGGATTTCTGTTTCCCACCCTGATTTTGTTTACTGGAATGCAATTTTATACTTACTACAAATGTGAGAAACAGAAGAGAGAAGTTTGAAATCGGTCTGAAAATTGATCTGACTGCTGGTGGGTTTTTTAAAGTATTCTAATAGCTGTTAATTTAAAGCTATGTTGCTCTCCCTCTCCCCCAACTGACCAGCATATAGCATTCAGTCTTTGTAAGAGGTGTATTTATGACGACTTCATGGTACAGTAGTGGTTTTTCAGAAGTTGAAAAATGGACAAGATGTGAGGGTTAGGCCATTTTGGAGTAGGGTGGAGAAGTGAAGTGGAATTTCTAGTGTATGAAAGTTCGGCATTAGAAACATCCTGGCTGGTCTGAACGGCTCCAGCCACACCAAACCAGGAAATGCAAATATTCGCAATAGCCTTTGTTTTCTTAAAGTTTCCCACGTGTTACTTCTGCTTCTTTTTCTCTGTTTGAGGCTGGGACTGAAGCCCTAGCTTACACAGAGCCCTGCTGGGGATGGTTTAATCTAGCAAAAACAAAAAAGAGGGCAAAACAAAACCAACTTAAGGTTTTGCATCTACAGATCCAGTTTCACTGGTTCAAATGTGAATCTCTGTACAAGAGATTTGCAAGCCTTCGTGGTAAGATCTGAAACGCTCGGGGAGGGTTGCTACCTTCATTGCAAATGTGGCAGCGTAATTTCTTTCCTTTACCTCTTGACAGGCGTGTCAGATAAACTGGACAGATGAATCGAGTGGGTGCTGCGTGTGGCAGTGAGCCCATCGCTGAATGAATCTGGGAAACGTGAATGCATTAGTTGCTTGAAGGAAGAATTCGGTGATGTTGGGGGGTTTTGTGTTTTGTTTTACTTTTGGCTTGGAGTGGAATAAGGGAGGAGAAGTGGAAAAGGAAGCCTTTTGTTTACAGTAAAACAATACTGTGAAGTAGACATTATGATGTTAAAACAGGAGTCTAAACATGGCAAATCTGGGCAGACTCCATCTGGCCGTGTCCACAAGTCAGTCGGACATCCCTGGCACAGACTGCTGCAGTCTCGAAGCGCTGTCAGGTCGGGTCATCCCCCTCTTATGGGAATTTAAAATAGCCCTGGAGACTCCATCCCAGAATTTTATTATTGCATGGGATGAATGATTTATTGGCTTTAACTGTTTATATTCGGTGATGCAATGCATCTTTATTAACGTTTCTTCCATGATAAATGCGTCATATTTTCGTTTTGAATTTTAATCTCCATGAATTATACTACATGCAAGTAATACGAGTGTAGAATTCTAAACCCAGCCAAAGCATAACCCTATAGGAAGGATTTAATACAGTGAATCTGTTGGAAAGAAAAATTTACTGTTACTGTGTTAGTTTCTGGCATATTTTGCAGTGATTTAAAGTACCTTGCATTATTAGGACATTTTTCACTTCTGGATAATCCATATGCCGTTTGGTGTTTGAATGCAGGTTATTGTGGTTTTGTTTGTTTAGTCCCAAAGGAATAATTCCAATTTGTTGAGACACGGATTTCTAACTGACAATGCTTATAAGCAGGTGCATGTGATCCTTCAAAATGGGTTTCATTTTACATGCAGTATATTAAGGATTTAGCATCTGGCTTGTGTTGAAATTGAACTTGCAGAAATGTGTTTATGGGACAATTCCGAATTTTAACAATTATTAAAGGAAAATCTTGTTAAAAGTCCTTTTCTAGTACTAAGGGTATTGTAATACATATTTTGAAAGTTTATTTTAAAGCTGCCTACCTTGTGTTTGGGTATCAGCCTATCAATAACGCTTTTATGTGTCACTTAGAACTAGTGTTGAATTTTTTTTTTCAACCTGACTGGTTAGTATTTAATAGCACTTTAAAAATTTATTAGTACTTCTGAAACATTTTAATGTATGTTCCAAGTGAGACAGTTAGCATTGGTACATGATTGTAAATTTACATTAGATTTAAATTAGATTTATAATTCCAAAAGAGAGTTGGAAATTAGTTTCCTACCAGTGTGAGCTGTCAGTGTATGTGGTAGGAGTGTGGGCAGATAGTGCTGCCTGTTGAAGTTACCATCCCTTCCAAGACGTCCTGGCTCCCACAGCTCTGGGGAAGAAGGGATCATGTTATGTATTTCCTAATTTACATCAGGAAAAGATACCTAGATGAAACAGCTAGTGGTGGTGGTTCGAGGTTTACCTGGCTGCTCAAGAAGGCAGGGCTGACACTGCGCTTTCCTGCCACGCAGCCATGGACTAGTGGATGGGCGAGAGTGTTTCCATTTAATCTAATCCAGCAGAGTATGTCTGAAACCAGCATCAGTTGGCCGGTGTCCTTGGGTGAACTGGGCTTCCCTGTGCATGTCGTATGGCACCTTCATCTCAGTGTGCGCTGCCTCTGTACTGGTCCTAGGAAAGGCATCGGGGTGGCTAGCGACCCTTTTGGTTTGCTACATCTTTAGAGGATGGTGTTTGGTGATTTAATTTGGGTAGCACTGAGTTTCGGATAAAGTATTGGGGGAAATAACATTTAATATGGGCATGCCAGCCTCTGTGTTTGTACATTTTGTAGTAACTAGTTGGGAGCTTGTTACTAGGTTATTCTAAATTTCTAGTGCTTTGTGACACTCAGAGCAGCTGTCATTAAGTGAAATACCTGAAGGCAGTTGTGTGTATACATGCAAGAGAAATGCTTTTTTCAGTGTTTTGATTCTGTGCTTCTGGGTGTGCTTTGGGAAATGGAACATGAAACTCCATCTGAATTTTTAAGGTTAAGATTGTGTCTCTGAAAACGTGAAGGGTGTTAGCGAGTTATTTTGGTATCTTGATGGCAAAATCTGCCCTTTTTTTTTTAAAAAAAAAAAAAGTTTTGTGTGCATTTGGGTTTTTGTTTTCTTTATTAATAAATGCCTGGAACTGCACAACAGAGAGAGTCTGCATCAAAATGAAAATACTGGGGGGTGCATTTTGATTTTAGAGCTGAAAACCTCACTGGTATGGCATGCAGTTTTACAGTGCTACTGCACGTTGCCATCGGAAAGGTAGTCCGGGTAATCCTCCCTCCTCTGCAGCTGTGTGTTCTGCCGCTGCCTCTCCAGTTGAGCTGTGGATGGCATGACTGCAGGGTAAGTCAAGGTAGCTCTTGGAGCCAATGGTGGACTAATCCATCTCTCCAGAAGGTTAATTTTGCGTTAAGCCAGTTCAGCTTCCTGATCTACCTTGCGTCCATCTGATTGCTAGAGCTGATTTGAGAGAGGAACAGCTGCAGCCCTCTTTATTGTTCCGTGACAGTGAAACCCTCCAGCTCCTGTTGATGGGTGCTCATGGTTAGAGTAATGGTCAGCTGCTGCATTCTTACCCATTTCACATTTCAATACCTTCTCTACTCAAAACCCCTGCGCACCTGTAAAATGTGTATTTGTTAGGTTTACCTATCTTTGTGTGTCCCTTCTTGACGATAATCGATCACAATCTTCTAAAATGCAAAAATTTCATTAGCGGAAGTAAATTCTTAGTTTATGATCGTGTTCTGTCACGTAGCTTATTCATCTGCAGAAAAAACACCTTTTAAAGGAAATTAAAACTGAAAGGAAATGAAAACTAAAGAAAAAAAGAAATAAAATCCTGAGATTAATTGCGAAGTAAAATTTAATGTGAGTAGTTGAGATAAAAAATTTTATTTCAGAACCTTAATTGAAAAAGTTATTACCTCAACAGCTGTATTTGCAAATCTGTATGGCATTATTTACAACTCTTTGTTCCATGAATAGTTGACGACCTCCTGGTTTATATCTTCCCATGTGGGAATTTAGGCAGATCCAAGGAGGGAATGCAAGCAGAAAAATATAAGTTTCTCGGTTGCTTGCCAACAATGGAAGAAAACAGTAGGAATTTGTTAGAAACGTTTAAAGCATTGAGCTGTCCTGCTAGAACCAGTGCATGGTGTGCTGTTTGCCCATCGTTTTCCTGAAAATAAATAAATTTATTAATAGTTTTATCCAACATGGAGAAAAGTGCATCGTGTCAGCCGTAGGTTCGAAAACCCCAAACAATTTCTGGGTCCCAGGGGCAGCCGTCCGAAGGCGAGGAGGGGTGTGTGTGTGCGCGCGCTCATTTGTCTCCCTCCCTCTCCGTCCCCGAGCAGGCTCATTCCAATCAGCAGTGTAATTGGAATGCAACCACAGTCTGGAGGAGGAAGGGGAATTTTTGGCAAGGAGAGACAGAGCAGTTGGGAGCTTTATTCAGATTAAAGCATAGACGACCATTCATTATCAGTACAACACACATTAGCAACAGCATAGCATTGTGTTTCTACAGCTGGGACTTATTTTAGTGATTGTATTGCACCGCGTATTACATGCAAACAACTGGGATCTGATCACAAAAAGCCATGCTAATGGCTTTCATTAAAAGATGTTGTTTCTGTAAGGGGAAGAAAGACTTGTCTTCAAAATGAACTATTGTGGTAAAAATTGATAGGCAGCCTGTCCTTCTCGCTGTCCTGTGTTACATATGTTCTGGAACAAGCACCTTTTTCTGGGAGAAAAACCCTTGGGGAAAGGAAAAAAAACAACAGGAATTAAAATGTTAAAACTGCTGGTTGGATTCAGAAGGCTGAACTAGTTTTTCTGTGGTGATGACACGTGAAAAGCCAGAAGATTAGTAAACGGAATCTTAGCTTTGGCCCCAAGTCCTCCTCTTCCCCCTGTAAACTCGGGGCTGGCTGTGGACGCGGTGTTGGGTGCGTACGGCTGCCGGGTGGGAGACAGGGGCTGTTTTCTTACAAAGTCACGTACCGAGTTTGACTGTGTTGATTGTGTGTTTCCTTCTTCTGCTTCAGCTGGTGGGCTCGCTTCCATGGACATTTGTGATTACTTTTAATTTTTGTACCTGTTTTCCTATATCTTTCACTGATAGTATCAATGTCTCTCCAAAATATACATTTAAATAGTGTTTACCTAAGAAGGTAGCTTAAGGAAGATTAATTTTTAATACAGAAATTTTAAAACGAATATATTTCTGTTATGATCATCTCCAAGTGTAGCCCTGAGGTACTAGTACCTCATGTTGCTGGGTACAAACACATTTAAACCTTGCAATTTGTCATAAATCAAGAGACACATTATAACAGGTAGATGAGAGTGTACAAACGTGGGTTACCTGTGAGGTAAAGTCGTAGTATTCCTATTTTGTAGCTGTGAAAGAATGTGGAGAACAAATTGGCTATAAACAGTTTGATATAGGTTGTAATTACCTGTGAGGGTTGAATACAAGATCACTACCCTGAAATGTCCCAAGTTCCTTAAATTCAGATAACATTTTCTTTTGTAGTGTTGCCTTCCTCAACACTCATTCTAGGTCTGTTGCCCTGCCATTGAAGGTGAATAGGATCATTGAAGACTCTGAGATGGTATCTAAGATGTGGTGATTCTGTGAAATCTTGTAGATCTTTATCATGTTTTACTTGTTTTCATTGCAAGCTTCCTACAGTGGCACTCTACACTTCATGGTCTTGTCTTCTTCCCTTTAAGTACGGAGACCTTGTGTTATATATATACATACATGCACTATTCTGAAATAAACATGCTTTTTAATACTTATATCAAATAGTGGTAATGTATAGCATAGGAGACATATGTTCCATAACAGCAGTTTGGTGTCATAAAGTTTGATTTTTCTGTTAAAATTATTCCACAGTAAAAAGCAATTGTAACGAAAGAGTTCTTCAGTAGATAGCAAAAAGAGTAAGAAGAGTTCAGAAAATGAAAAAAAAATAAAAATTATCTTTCTAGAAAATGCACATTTTCAATGATCATAGTTCCTTTCAATTTTTTTTTGTGGGTTCAAGGAATTATTTTGTCCCCCTCTACAATTGCATGTAAATTTTAATGCCTAATAAATAAATTAGATTACAGAAGTTTGGGAATACTAAATATTTTGCATTTACTTGCAATAGTTAAATTATTTTTCAGTAAATCATTCTTTGTCAGTCACTGGGGTAATAAATCAGAAAAAGGAAATGGCAAATGTGATTCACTTAATTCCTATTTTTAAGTATTTGAGGACTACATGTAGCAAAGCAGCCATGGAAGGAGACTAGGTAGCTTATTATGTTATGCTCTTTCCATGTTTCTGTGAACTGACCTCAGTAGCATATGTTAGAATGAGATCATAAGGCATGATAAAAAGATGTTTAATGAACGTATAGTATGTAAAACTGATGTGCCTGTTTGTCTTGGCACGTATATATTGTTCCTTCATATTGGAATATTAATGTTCTCTTTTCTGCAGACTACCCAGGAAGTCTGTAATAAATACAAAACATAGCTATCCACTGACTCATTCATATTTTGTAATAAATACTTTATCTACATATGTGTGCTAGAAGCCGTTAATGTCTTGATGATGCACTTATGGTGCAATGCTCCCCCCCCTCCTTTTTTTTTTTTTCGAACCAGTGTCAATAGATACAGGCATTGGTTTGTGTTGTAGGTTCTGAAAACCTTCACTGCAACCTTAAATAGCTTAACTTTTTTTTTGTTTAATTTTAATAAAAAATGTTTTAAAACAAGTACACACACATGACAGATAACCTTCTTTAGTGCCTTTGTGCCTCTAGAGGATCTATTAATGGTGCAACTGCGTAGATCTGATAACAACGTGGGTTTGGGTCCAGAACCATCAGCATTTTAGCTTGGCTTGGTCATGAAAAATAAATCATGCTATGGTTCTTTCTGTTTTTTGAATCTTTGGCTCAAATTTGACGTAGGATAGCGGTCTCAAAGATAATTAAGTCCCACGAGTTTTATGATACTCGTTGCTGGCTAGAGGAGACCCTAGCAGTGACCTGAAGTGAGAGGAAAAAGCTGCAGCGAGAGATCCCGTGTTGCAAGGCCACCGGAGAGTCTGCGTGGGAGAGTGTCTGTCTAAATGCCCGACCGCTGGGAAAAGCCTCAGCTATGGCTTTCAGTCAACCATGAAACATAAATCCATAGGAAACCAAACTTCCTTAGTTTTTATTCTCAAGGAACTATTAATCAGTGGGTTATCAGAATATTCAGAATAGGTTTTAATACACTGTTGAAACAGTTAGAAAAGTGGAGCATAAGCTCTGGTAATTTTCCCACCAGTGGGAAAAGTTTTGTCCAAAAAAAAGTCCTGAGATAGATGAGAGCTCTGTGCATGGAAGAAGATTGTTTCACTTAAAATTGACCTGATGCTCCTGGGACCCGGGGTTTTTCACCTAGAAATACCTGGCAGAGAGGGTGTTGTTAACGAAATATTTCTCAGTGTCTGTCCTGTTTTTGTTAACCTGACAAAGCCAGAATGCGTTGACATCTGACTTTCTTTAAATGTGGTTACTAGAGAGGGAAATCTTGAGCCAAAAATACTAGTTTGTTCACTCGTGGCTAATTGTTGGGGAAACGGTTATTAGTCTGTATGTTGTGCATGTGCCTAATCTTATAAAAATGAGACTTTGGTTAAATTGAACTGGCAGGCTTGCTTAATATTTTGAAAAGAAGTGTTTATAGTTAGGTAACCTCGCAATTTCTCTCTCAAAAGATTAGTCAAACCTCTCATTTTGGCCATTATACAGTTTTGGGAGAGTGTTGTATGGCTCACTGTGCTATAGATTAATTTTGATTTAACTATTGGATTTAAAGCCTTCAGCTTCACTGGACACTTCCTGTTTCTTGTAATGGGTGAAGTTGTGCAAATAATTATATCTTTTTGAGATATTTAAAAAAGTGACCGTCTACTGAAGTTTTTCACTACTACTGACCAAGTTTGTTGTCTTACCTGTTTCTCTAAAGGTCTTTTAAGTTGTTCTCAATTGTTTAGGTAGAGTAGACTTCAAATTGCTGGGCACATGGAAGTCTTTAGTAATTGGATTTTTATTATACTCTCCTAAGGACTTTAGTTCGATGCTTTGTGGAGCAGACGGTGATGTGACAGTCTGATCCCGTACATGCTCTAACTGGGGGTATCAGAAATACCGACATTTGGCTCTCTATTAGTATTTTACTACTGTTAACGGATTACAATGGAATTATGGGGTGAAAATCCCTTAAATAGAGCTCTGCTTTAGGATTGCCATTATGTCTTTGAATGGAGAGAAATAATTTTTTTATGTTTACCATCTTTTAAAACAACCAACTAATAACAACATGGAACCAGCCTTTTTTTCTTTTCAGGTTAACAGTTTTGTTATTAGCACCCCCTTGCATCAAGCTAAAATGCTGAAACTTTCCTGCGAGCTTATATATACCTCTTCTCAACATACGGGGGGTTGTTTAATGACTACCTCTAGTCATTAATAGGTGTCCCCTTCTGTTTTATGGGGGACCAAAACTCGTTAAGACCTGAGCAGAGTTTTAGCTAGATTTTACAGTGCTGAATTCCTGTGGAAGGCAATTTCACTAAAATCAACATATTTATGAACGTAAAAAAATGAGAGAACTTTAATTCCATTGATTTAGAATGATATGAAACTTTGTGCTGCATGCAGGACTGTTGAGGGTGGTGCTTCTGGGCCCTGACCGTGGCAATCTCCACGAGGGTGCTCGGGGACTACCTCCGCGTACTTCTCTTTGGGCAGATGCTGTAAAAGAAATCGGAGAATCGGTAGCCCTGCAGGATCAGTTTGAGGATATTCTGTGGGGGAAAGCGTGACTAATTTTGTGTGGTTTTAGGTGATGGCTGTGGGATGTGATTTTTGGATGCACTTCTCTGTCTTTGCATTTCCTGGTGGTACTAAACATTGGCAACCTCATAGACAAAATATCCGAGGGAATCACACCGAGGAGGCTTCTGCAGTGTTGGTTCCAACCAAATATGTCTTCCCCCTTCCTTTTTTTTTCTTTTTGCTTTTTGTACTAGCTGTGGGAAATCGTGCTTTCACTCAAGACCTGAGAATCCTTTTGTGTGATCAGTAAATATTTTAATGTTTCGCAGGGGAATCTAGTATTTCCTGCTTACTGAACCTGTGGTAACAAATAAGCATATGTAGTTGAACAGTGGTGCATTTTGTGAGAAGACCTCTGTGTGGACCTTGGCATCTTTACATGAAAGTTGTCCCTTTTGACCTTTAATTTATTTATTTATTTTTATTTACTCTATTCTCCTATGAGATTGCTTTCACGATGGTATTTTTAGTTGACAAATGCAAATGTTCTTCCCTTTTAATTGAAACAAAGCCTGAAACAATTATCAGCTTCTACAAATAAAATGTATCTTTGGAGCCATCAAAACTCTGGCGCTAGAAGTTAGTCTACTCCACCCAAATGTTTTTCAGGTAAAAACTTTCATTTAGTTCAATAAAAACTTTCAATTTTCATTTCCATGCAGGATAGCAGAAAAGCCTGGACTGCCTGATACACTGGTTTTTATAGTCAAGGAAGCTTTTTCTGGTCTGTAGAATTTACGTTCAGTTCAGTTCAGACCCTGCTTGTGTAACACCATTAATTTTACTGGCACGATTGTTTGTGCCACAGTGTGGTGGGCTAGTTGGAAACAGTCCCGTTCCCTCACTAGGTAGACACAGGATTGGCAAAACCATTGAGGGGGGGAAAAAAAAGCACGCAAAACTATTGCCTGAGGAAACCAGTACCATATCACTTCCACTATAATCTACCTAAAGGTAAATTGCCAAAAGATGACACTTCTGGCTCAGCTTTCAGGAATTACTTTACCTTACAATATAAATGATGTAGACGCACAATTTGTTTATGTTCGTTCATTTTATTTTGAGCAGGATTATCTGGAATGCTGGACAGGTAAAGTGATTATTTTTTTTAAAGTTGGGAATCAGTAACTTAATTTTTCATTTCTGTTTTTCTTACAGTACTGTGTGCAAAAAACTTGGTGAAAAAGGATTTTTTCCGTAAGTAGTTGTATAAGACTTTACATTTATAGATGGGGTAAATACTGTGCATGTTCTGTACATCAGTGTTTGCACGTGATCATTCTGTTAAGATTTGCATTAAGGGGGCTGGGAGCTTTGATGTTTTCACACCATTTAATTTCAGGGCTTCTAATTTTTTCTTAGGTGATGCTCATCACAGGTTCATAATAATAACTACAACACTGACACACTGTCTCTGTTTTTGATGGGAATGGGAAACAAATTTACTCTCTCAGGCAAATTACATGTTCTTCAATTAGTGCCACATATTTATTAAAATGTTCTTCATATAAGAACTTTTTGTCCAGTAGACAGAAGTACATCTTTATTATAAATAATGTCATAATACTTAGCTACTCTGAAATTATATTTTAATTAATTTTAATAATAATAATGTTTTGAAAGAAGTGCTAAGAGGTGGATGAAGGAGGCAGAAAGGAATGTTACTGGCTGTGTAGGCATGCACGCACAGATCACCTGCCTGCTGCCTCCCAGGTGGCAGTAGGAAGAATTCGAAAGATCAGACCTGAACTTTGAAAAGAACATGAAGGGATGATTCAGAATTATGTTATAATTTGTGATACTTCTAAAACTTGCTTTATATCTGGGTGGGTTTTTTTATCGATGGCAAGTTTTCAGGTGTTTTAACAGTTTAATAGTGTCTAAAAAAAATCCCTCAGGATTTGAAATCTGTGATGCACTTCTGCGCTGAAGCACAAATCTCGCAAGTTCTTATTCCTCCCCTTCCCCACATGCTTTGCCTTTATCCCCACGTGCTTTGTCTGACACTTGTCTTTAGCCACTCCACTGCTTGACTGGCTCCATTGTGAGTCACCTGAGGAAGTGGAACTGGTACAAAACTTGGGCTACAGAAAATGTGAATAATGTTTCACCACCTTGGTTCCTTCAGCTGACTCACTGGGCTCTCAGATGAGGGGAGGAATCGGTATGAGTGGAAAAAGGGATAGGACCACATGACTTAGGGGCATTAGTGGTAGGACCATCCCTTTTGGTGTCGGTTAAATAGTTGGTTAGAATAACAGTTGCAGTAGAGCTAATTGGACACTGCTCTGGTTGTGGTTCTTTCCCGCCTGGCACCATCTTTGCACCAATTTTTGTTGATCAGCTGAGCCTATCTTGATTGTTTTTAAGGTACTAAGCTAGCAGAAAATGAAGTAGAAAGCTAGCAGAAAACAAAAGTGGAGCTCAAAAGTGAGAATAATCTGCTCGTGGTCGTTTCCTGTAGTACTGGTAACAACCACAATCATGATTATAATTAATCGGAAATATGGGAAGAATGTAAATCTGTTTTCTCTGCCTTTTGCTGAATTCTTTGTATACTGAGAATTTACTCAATCCTGAATTAGGAAGATTAAGGTGTTCAGATTTTTTCCCCCGAAGTGTTTGACTTACACAATTTTTTTTCTTGGTCTATATCAGTGAAATAAATTGCTAATTCAGCTATTTCGTGTGCTTAATACATCATGTTATTCCCATTCATTAAAGGTGCCTCATTTATGAATAAAAGGCAACTTCAAATAAAATATTTGGAAAAAAAAAATAAATTATGCAATGATACTTTCCAGCATCCTGATCCATTTGCTAGTTTTTTTCTTTTCCTCCTCTTAGGACTTCCTGATCCATTTGCTAAGGTTGTGGTGGACGGATCTGGCCAATGCCATTCTACAGATACTGTGAAGAATACACTTGATCCAAAATGGAATCAGCATTACGACCTGTAGGTGGTAACAGTGATAACCAAAGGTTTGAAGTGAAGTCCTCTAAAGTACACAGACATTGTCAGATGTTCACAATACTGTCCTATTTACAGCTTGGAAAATATCCCAGAGTTTATGAGTTTGAGAGAAAAATACATCGGTCAAAATACCACTTTCTCATTTCCCTCAATCTAAACACTTGGTTTTCAAAGTGTTGATGTCTGCAGCATGCTTTACATGTACTGTAGCATTATTTTATTGTAATGCTTTCATGTTAACACTTCTGTAAAATGAAGCAGATAATTCACAATATTTCCCTCAAACTGCTCTTCTCTTTGTGCTATTTTTGTCTGTTGCAGTGCTACAGTGTCTTTTCTTCTGTGTGCCTTTTGTTCAGTTTTCTCTCCTTTATGTAATTTTCTGTCCCAAATGTTCTCCACACTATAAATTGTTACGTTGTTATCACTTGAGCATATTATATTTTGAGCAATATAATCTGTGTGGCATATATGTCATGTTTTTCCTCTTTCTAAAGCGTAGAATATTCTGTATAATATGTTATTAAAGCTTTTATTTTTTATATAGGTTTCTTTGTATTTGTGCATGCTTTATTTTCCCTTTTATCCTTTTTTTTATTTATCTTTTTCCTTGGGATGGAAGGTGAGGAAGAGAAGGGAACAGTTTTGCCTCATTGTATTCTCCTTTCTTTCTAAGGCATTGTTCTGATCTCTGACTTTTTTTCCCATGGCTCCATTCCCTATCTGTATTATTAGAAATTGGTTGAGTGTATTTATGTTAGCTTTGGACATCATCAAACCTAGAGCAAATCAAGTATTAGTGCACAGAGAATTTCTTGTCCCCCTTTTTCCCAGTGAAGAAAAGCAGCTTGATAGGTCTTTCAGCAGAATGTGGAAGGCCTGGTGTAAAGTGATGTCTTTACCTATTCTTTATTTGAACATCCAAGACTAAACACATGAAGTCATTGTTCATAATGTTTTAGTGCTGTATACAAAACATTTCCTTTACTGCTTAACAAAATATCATTGGCATTTTAGTCAAATAACAGCACTTTCTCTGAGGAAAGCCTTACAGCTTTATCATTCAAACTCAGTCCAAGCTTAGTTTCTGCATGTGAGACTATAATTCATATTCATTTAAAAAAATGGGATATAAACCAAATTTAAGTTCATGTAGAAAGAATGGCTGTCTCTCTTATTTAAAGAATTCTGAGTTAATTTTATTTTTTTGTTATTAAACCTATCAAAATGTTGATTCATATAGAATGGAGATTTCAGACCTCTGCCCTTCTGTGTCCTCTCCAAGATGGACCATCCATTTGTGAAGATCTAGCTTGAACGTTTTTTTTTCAGCAGTATTTAATACTCCGTGCAGTGTCCTAATGATGAAATTCAAGTAGATTGCGCTGATACTGCGGCTTATATATTTGCCACCAAAAATGGACAGCCCCCTTTCTCTCCTCTTTCCGCCCCTTTCCCAGTTTCCTGCATGTGTTCATGCTGCTTCTCTTGCACTGGCTCCATCTGGTTTCTGGGTAAATGGATTCAATTCACTTAAGCCACAGGAAGGTAGCTGGGTATTGTGTGTAGTTCTGTGCTGATTAAATGAGTTGCATTGGGTGAGTAGTGGTGTCCCTGCGTTGGCGTGTTAGCTTGCATCAGGAATGAGCTGTTGTAGAGAGTCTCTGAGCATCCCCGCTTGCTGCGTTGTGGCTTCCTTCATGAAGCCGCCTTGGAGTACGTGGACCCAATTGTGCTGGATGAAGCTGGATCACAAGGCGCATCGGGTGGGTGCCACCGATGGTCTCCTGCTGCAGGAATGGAATGTGAGCAGAGACTTGTTTAGTTAGGTAGGCCTGTTAATGAGCATTAATGCATAGCTCTACAGGGATACAAGGAGAGTAAGGTGGAAAGGAAAGTGCTGCCAACATGACTTGTGTGCAAAGCCTTCCTCTAACCTTTGTACACGTAGAGAAATACAGAATGGTGGGCCATCATTTGGCAGTTATCTGCTGCTAAATTCTGTGTTGAAAATGTCAGCGATTCCCTGCATCTTCCCCGCTATCTGCCAGTCGTGTCTTTGTGTTTGAAGTGCTGTGGTGACAGTGAGAATAAGCAGTTGACAGGAGTGGGTTGTAAGGGATGCTAAGTGTTCCATGGGCTAATGACTTGGAGACTTGGTTCCCTTCTGGAGAAAAGGAGCACAGGACATGGGCAACATGGGAGGATGTTAATAGGCAATGAGAGTAATGGGGGGGAAAAAAAGTAAAATCTTTAGGAAAAAAAATTCCTTTCTGGTTATAATTTTCAAGGAAGAATGAAGAGAAGGTATTTTTATGTTGTATTATAGAACAAGTCATGCTTCTAACTGGATACTGTAGTTGTCAGCTTTGAAGCAAAACTGTGATTGTAGTCCACATTGTATTGTAAAAAGCAGAGATAGAAATGGGGTTTCTGGCAGAATTATTTTGCTTGGGCAGATTTGGGGCTTCTCTTGTGGGATTGTCCTAAGAAATTTAGACCTGTGAAATATTTCATGTGTGTTTGGTTTGTGTTGGGGTTTTTTTTTTTTTTTGTTTTTGTTTAGTTAGGTTAGTCTTTTCAATATGAATACGTGTCCTCTAGGGAAAACTACTTTGCTTGATTCCAGCAGTTGAAGTCCCTGATGACAGAATTATACACAACATTTCTAATCCAAAGTAAAATTCAGCGTTACGTCAGGCCTTGTAATTTGAAAATAATCCTTTCCCTCTCAATTTTTTCTTCATAATCAGTTAACCCCTTTTATTGTCTTGCCTCTTATTCCTTACTCTGTGGACATTTATTTCCATTTATAAACATCAGTCCCCTAGTCTTCAGTTCCTATTTGAAACAGCAGTAAAAGATTAGATCTCTTTGATGCAACAATTTACTGCCTGGCTTTTATCTTAAGGTAACTGTACTGTAATATACCCGGTGCCAGGTCTCAGCTTTTCATCTGCACCAGATAGCAAGATAATTAATTTTTACTTTTTTGGGGGAAAAAAATAAAGTAATAGTAATAGTAACCGTCCTGCTGCTAAGCACCTGATGGCAAACCTCATAGATTACAGGATTTAATCTTTCTTCTCATCCTTTGATAATAATAGGTTTTAAAACTTCCTAGTGTTTACCCTAACAACACACCACTGCATGGGAACGCTGGGCTCTGCCTTGTGACGCTTCCAGTGTTAGAGGAAATGCTTTGCACACCAAGCATAACAGATGGAGTCTGGGTGGCAGCTTGCCTGCTCCTGCCACCACGCAGCCTAGGGAATCAACCCGAGGAAGGTGCAGTTGTGTAGAGTTTTCTGAAACAAATCCTGCTTTTTCCCTACTGTGAGGATTTCTGTTGGTTTTCAAATAACTATAATAGGCTTATGTGCAGTAAAACTCCCCCTCGGCTGTGTTGGGAGGATTGAAGTGTCCCCAGCCTGGAATTTGTGTAACAGGTTAACACTGCTGCTAATTAACAGTCTTGTGTATCATGTATATGCAAATGGCACAGTAAGGTGAGTCTGTTGTAATATATTTATGCAATAATGTCTGAATGAAGTTGCTAATTCCAAGGGAATTTTGTGGCTTGCTAACCTGATTCAGCATAATAGATATTCTGTTGTATAAGATTTTTTTTTTTAAAGGAAGTCTGCAGTGTTATAAAGAACAAAAGAAGTTTGCTTTTGCCTTACGTGGTTCTTAAGTCAGATCTTAGCGTGAAAGGAAGCAGCTGAATTAGTTGCTTAGATTCTTCAGTCTAGATGGGTGTGTGTAAGGGAAAGGGGGAATCTGGGAGGCTTTCCAGAAAGAAATTGCCAAATAGTTGCTGTCTGGATGCAGTCTAACGTCAGTAAAATACCGTGCTTGCCCTGGATGTATTCCCCTGCCTTATTTTCAGTCTTGTTTGTGTTTTCCCTATTGTTCAGGCCATTCCTCAAAGCTTTGAATAACCAGACTTAACACATTTACAGACCTTCTCGCATTCAGAACATGTAAACACTACCTAAACCAGCAGTTCTGAAGCTTAACAAATCCCCCTTTTCCTCTTCGTTCCCGTCTTCCATTTGGTGATAGCCTGGATCTCTCCTACAGCCTTCCCATGCTCACCTGTGCCACCTGCCCTCCCCAGCAGCCTCTGCCCTTAAGGCATAGCAAGTCATACGGTCTGTTTAGCTCTAAAAGATATTTGTACCACGATCTCCACCAAAACCTAGTCCTGGTCCCATCTTTCCTCTGTGCTCTTCAAATCAGCAGCCCCAGGCTCTAGCATGGACTCGTTGCTCTCCTTTGTCATACCTCTCAAATGTAGCCTCACCCAACTTTTACAACTCTTCTTCCCAGAATCTCCTTGCTGCAGGTGCTAGTGCTCTTTAGTGCCTTCACATCCTCAAGCCCCTGTGCTGCCCTAGCAGAATCGTCTTTCTCCCCCAAGCCTAGCCCCCATTAGTTATTGCTGATGATCTTGGATTTTTCTTAGGGAGAGAAGGCAACATCTCTGCATTGTGCCAGTTTAGACAATCCCATCCTAGATTAGACTCCTAAAGAGCTGTCAAACAGCTCCTTGCAACAGCTTTGCCTTCTTGACGCAGTTGTTTAGACCAGTTTGATGAAGCTGATGCCCTTTACATTTAGGGTGAAAGCATTTCTGGGTTGTGGTTAGCCCGTATCAGCAGATCTGCCCATTCCAGCTCAAGCGCATCAGGGGTATGAGTCTTTGCTGAACTTCTTAGGTGGGTCTGTTAGGAGCAGCTGGAGTAGAAGCCCCACTTTGCTTGCTGTTTGCTTGGTGTGGCTGCTTTTACAGTGTCTTGTAGGCTCAGCTCAACATTGGGCTGGGGAGGAGAAAGGAGCAGCAAGTCAGCACTGTGTGTCCCGTGTCATGTTCCTGTCTAAACCACAGCCTCTGGCCGGGTCTCCTCTGACCATCCCAGAGGCTCAAACGCCCTTCAGTTACTACCAGAGATGAGAGCAATGTCAGGGTAAAGGAAGAGAGAACAGGAAAAAATTGGGATGGTATTTTTCATTATGTCTCTTCTCACCCTCTTCTTCCCCAATCTGAAAACAGCTGATATCTCGAAGTATAACGCTACCGTTATATTAGAAAAATTGCAGAAATTGGAAAATGGAGAAACAAAGTAATTTGTCCAGGTCGTAAAAAGAGTCTGTGTGACAGCATGGATTAGAAATAGGGAATTCCTGGCTTCCAAGCCTGAGTTCATACCTCTGGATGTTGCATTTTTCTCTCTTTCTGGAGGGAGTACATCTGGCTTCTGATCAAGAGGAGGTGTGTTTTTTCAGGATTCCGCCCCCCCCTTTCTTCATTCTGCTTTTCTCTACCAAGCTGAACTCTTCAGGGAAAGTGTATATAATGCCATGGGGATGAAAAGTCACTTGATACCAAACCTTCCCGAGTGGTATATTGGCTCAGAAGTAAATACCACCTTGGCAATAAAATTATTTAGACAAAGTAACAATTGCCCCTGTGTTTTAAAATTTGATTAGAATGTTTTAGACGTTTCCAGTACTTGATTTTTGTTTAGGCATGGAAGTGCTAAGAGTAGGCATTTTCCTTAAAATTTCCAAACACGCAATTCTTATCCAGAGCCCTAATTTTACAGATTTAGGAAATTTAGGGACTTAACAAAATATATATGGAAATTGAATTTCCAGGTTTCCACTTCATTAGTACTTCATTTATATCTGTTGAAGCACTGAGGCAGTGAAATAGATATTGCTGATAGGGTAGAGTGAAAAAATAAAAAAGCTCCAAGAACTTTAATTACGAGGAGGAAGAGAGAGGCATCCAACAGAATGGGGGGGTTGTGGTTTTTTGTGTCTGTTTGTTTTGGTTTTTTTAAACTTACTCACTTTATTTTTTGGAACGTTCTTTTTTTAATAACAAATAAAATTCCTAGCTCAGGCTTTTATGTTGGAACTTTATTGCCAGATGATGTAAAACAAATGTAACTTATCCACCAAATGAATTGGAAATGTCAACTTGTCCTACCGTCACTCTCTAAATGCAACCATGTATTTTCATGCCTGAAATTATGCAGAAATATAGACGAAACATTTTGGTATGAAGCCAACCAGCAGTTACTGAGCTATTTCTTTTCTTCCTTTGGAAAAAAAAAAAAAAAAGACTTTTTATTTGGAAAATGCAGCTTGTCTTGCTTATTTTCTTTAAATGTGTTAATCGAGCAGGTTTTCTGGTTCAGAAAACAGCGTAGGTTATAGTAGTAATATAGAAGTCCTCCCCTGTTTGGTATGGATAGCTTATTGTCTGCATCTCAACCATGAGAACCTCACCCTGAAATGTTACAGTAATTCTTGGAAACTGTGTTGTATATTCAGCTGTTCTACATATTATTCAAACTGTTCTGTTATGAAATTGTGTTTAACCATATACCTTTGACTTTTTTAAAGCAACAAGGAAAACTGGAAAATTCAAGACAGGTCATGATAAGTCTTTATTTTTAAGTGCACCTAACTTGTTCTCATAAGAATTTATTTTAAGTACATGAAACATTGTAGACTGCAACTGTGCACGTGAATACCCATCTTCATCTCTCGTTTCTTTATGCAAAATTGGCATTGTCAAGGTTGTAAGGCCAAAAATCTGACCTATATCGTATGATCAGTTTACTATTCCAAAAACTCTGGGGTTTGTTTGTGTGAAGTTCGTGTTTTGTTTGTTTGTTGGGTTTTTTTAAATGTGCACTGGTTATTTTAAACCATGCTCACGGGTATGTGCCTACAGTTAGGCTTTTCTGTCTTCTACTTCTTGGGTCAGTCCCTGTCTGCAGGTGGGAAAAAGAAGTTGTCAAAGTTCTGCTTTTTGAAAAAGAAAAAGGGGAGAAGTCTTAATTGAGACCTTACCTGATCACAGCTGCAATTTTAAGCCATGACAGTTAGTTCAATTGTTTGGTTTGCCAACCTTGACAGTATCATTTCTGTCTTTATGAAAATATTAAGATGTTTTAAAGCCGATTAAGTCTCAGTCAGTGGGGGAAACGTGTTTAGACATTGAGTTTGATCAGTTTTCCTTCAAACACAAGTAAAAAAGCACTTGGAACTAAACTGCAGAAGGCCAGAATTTGTGGTCTGGGAAGGGAGAACTACAAGCAGTTCTTGGGATCTAAGCCATAGGGACAAATTCATTTTCCTCAACTTGAAATGTCTATAATAATTCCATATTGGCAATAGCTGATTATCTTAAGTGTTTTGAAATTGTCCTCTGAAACTTTTGAGAACAAAAACTAGTTCACAAAGTAATTGCCTCTGAAAAACAAAGCTTCAAACAAAAAAGCAAAAATAAAACAGCCTGCAAGTGTCCAGGTTGCCCCAAGTTGGCGAAAGGCAGATCTAGGTTTTGCAAAGCATTTCTGTGGTCGTGCTGCAAGGAGGCAGCCCACATGTGAGCAGGGGGCCGGAGGGGAACGTGGCACATCTCAACTAAGATAATCTATGAACTTTTTGTAATGGGTCCCATTTACAATCTGTAATGTATGTTATAAACAGGGCCTTTCTGAAGGTTTCTTAATAGTAAAGTAGCTTCCCAAGGATTTGTTAACTGCAGATCTGTGACTAGGTTTGCCTTATAGTTTCCCTGAGCGCTCAGAAGAGCTCAAAGTAAGCGTGACTTGCACTGCTGGTGGTTGGAAGAGTAGCCTGGAAAGCAGCGGCAGATGAAGTGCTGCAAAAGGATGCTGAACTGAAAATCTTTGACCCGCTCTGCCTGCTAGCGCTGCTCACAAACACGTGCTGCCATGAGCATTGCTGTTCTCTTTGGTTAGGCTGAGCGTAGGCATGAATCTAAGCATGTTTGTAGCTGCTTGAAGAAATGTGGTCAGCCCACAGCCTGTTCATGTTACTGTGTTAAATAGATTTCGGTAGACTTTGGAATCACATGAATGCCTTCTTCCAGAATCAGGATTTTAGATTAGCTTATATTCAAGTATGCTTCTTCATAAGACATGCTTTCATTAAAGTATAGTGGGTACATCTTTTCTGAAGATGACTTTCTCTCTCTTGCCAATACTCTGTGTCTTAAATTTTTTAATGTAATGGTTGATAATCTCTTTTTCCCCAAGGTGATTTCTGGAGCATCTTCAAAGTATTCAGTAAGTGCCATTCACAGTACTGTCTTTCCACCTTTTTCAGATATATTGGGAAGTCGGATTCAATAACAATCAGTGTGTGGAATCACAAGAAAATTCATAAAAAGCAGGGAGCTGGTTTTCTGGGTTGTGTGAGACTTCTTTCAAACGCGATCAACCGCCTTAAAGACACTGGTTGTAAGTAAGCTAAAGACTAGTGTTCTCTTTCAGAGCAAACTTTCATGCACAGACTTTTTGAAAAGTGGCAGTTAATTGAGTTTTTGTTGTTTTTTATAAAGCTTGTATATTCCAATTAATTTGGTACTTTGTAATGGTGGTTTGTGGCTGAGGATAGCACGGGTAGGTTAGAGAATGTAACTTACCTTTTGCTTTCCAGCTTCTTTGCCCCATTACCATCAACAGTGGTAACTTCAGTGTCACACTGGTTGTGGATGGTCAAGACTGAACATAATGTGTTGGAATTTTGAAGGAGGACAGATTCTAATTACCTTCAAATTATCTTTTTATTACGTTCAAAAATGCAAGTCTTAAGGGATAAATGAAAGGATAAATCTATCTTGAAGCCAAATTCGTAGTTTAAAAATTAATGGACCTTCAAAATTAAATAGTAAATTTTGTCATAAGATATTAAGTGCTTTAAAACGCTTACAGCACTTTGTGTTACTTTTCAAAAGTTAATTAACATGTAAGATGGTGTTTTCTCATCCTGATGGATGCCGCTTACTTCTGAACAAAATTCGGTGCACTGTTTGTGATGGAAAAGTAGTGCTTGGCTATACAGGTAATTTAAAACAAACAAAAAAGAAAGCGACACACCAGTAGAGAAGCATTGTGATTTTACCTTCAATAACAGTGGTGACAAAGGCATAACCAAAGTTCTCATTTTTAAATATTTGTCACTAGATCAGTGCTTCAGCGCTTCACTCTGTTGAAGTTCTATCTATTCAGTGTGGAACAAGTGGATTGATGCTGCAGGTTAGCTCTGTGCTGTACTAATGAGTGTTGAGCTGGAAGTGCAGTATGACAATGGCTGGTCTTCACAAGGGAAAAGAGTTCAAAATACTTTACAATCACTTCAGACATCCAGTCTAGGATAACGTCATTTCCTATTCATCAAAAGAGCTTTGTGAAGTAGGAAAAATGTTAAAGCAAAAGTACTCTAGTCTTGTTTTCTGATTTTGAAATTATGAAAAATGAACTCTTGGCTGAAGATTTTTAGTTATGCTCCCCTTTCCCTGGTTTTGAAGTCTGAACTGTCTTACACTAGGCTGAACTTTGTTCTGATGGTACTTCAATGTGCTTTTCAAAAGCAGCAAAATATTGTATGACTTACGCTTTGTGTCCTTGTTTTGTAGATCAGAGATTGGATCTGTGCAAGCTTGGGCCAAATGACAATGATACTGTTAGAGGACAGATAGTAGGTAAGTGAAGGTTTTTATCTGTTAGTTCTCTTGGAGCTTAGCAGTAGCTATAGAAATACTCTTCCTAGACGTCAGTTTCCTGTGCTGATTCCCCCCCCCCCAATTCAGTGCCTAGTGCCAGAGCCACTTGGACCTCAAGCTAGAAGTTTTTACGTAGAGAATTTTTTTTAAAAAAAATAATAATCACCCAAAACAACCCCCCCCAAATGTTGTTGTAAGTGTTGGGACAGATAAGACCATAGATAATATGAAACTTATTTAGAAAGTTTTTAATTTCACTGTAAAGAATGGTGACAGTTTGAGCCTGAACTCCCTGTGAAAAAATGACTACAAATTTCTTGGCCGTTGAGAGTTGCAGCAAAGGTGTGCTTCCTGTAGGTTTTGCGAAAGGGTAAAACAGCTTGCTGTAACAGGAGTGAGTTGTTGTCTGGGATGATTTGGTCAAGTCATTTGGGGTTTTCATGGGTTATTAACAAGTCTGTCACCAATCTCAATGACTGTGCTTTGTTATTCTGCTAACCCATAAACCTTAAATAACTTAAGAATTAAAAAGAAGCTGGCAAATTGAGGAACAGGTATCCATAAACAACTTCATGAGCATTCTTCCTGGTGCACTGTAAGTTGTTTCAGAAGGCAGCGTTTCTCATTGATCACTTAAGTAAAAGAAAAAAACAAAACTGTTGCTCAGGGTAAGGAGGTCTGTATTTATATGGCAAGATATTAATGAGAGTGTTTGGACATGGGGGACAGAGAGGTGACTTTGTATGCTTAGTTTTATGTTCAATTCCTAGTTCAGCATTCTTGTTTTGTCAGCCAGGGAAAGCTATTGCAATATCAGTCAGCAAATAAGGGCTTCAGTGCATTTGTTTGCTTTCCTCAAAGTGCTCTGTTGGATAATACCTATGACTTTACCTTTTTATGTTGCTTTAACCATCTGCCTGGCATCTGATCTGCAAGTGTTTGCACAGTATTAAGATAAGAGTGAGGTGGCACAGGAGAGTCAAGTGATGGTAGAAATGTGGAATCGTCAGTGCACTGCTGACACTTCAGACCGTTCTTGAATATTACATTTTCCGTGTGAGCTTGCACAGAAGAGTAAAGGATAAAACAGTCATTTTTCTAGGGTGTGTTATGTTGTCAGTTTGGTTTGCTTTTTGGTTTTGCTGCAGTATACTGGTCCCCTGATCTTCCATGCTGCACGTGTGCGATTTTGTTTGTGGGGTTCCTTTTAAGAGGAAACCAAGCTCAGGTTGTTCAGGGTCTGCTCGGAGCAGTAGAGATTCACTCTGCCCACAGCACTCCTTCAGCTGTGACACTAGCAGGGATGTACCCTCACACCGTGACGTGCTCTCATGCTGCCCTCCAGAGTATGCAACATGCATCCTTGTCACCATGACTTGAGAATGCTACCATTAATTAAACAAGCAAAAAAAACCAAACCCCCAAACCTCAGAGCAGAAAGGTCTCAAGGCAGTTGGGATGGCAGATGGAAGCCTGGGGCAAACACTATGCAGGGTGGGCATGGCAGATACATTTCAGAGATAACTACTAGTCAGCAGTGTGGGCATAAACTTGACTGACCAGTTGGCTTAACCTGGCGTGATCATGAGAAGTGGTATAGCCAAAGCAGCATTAGCTCTTTTGGCACGCTGCTGGGGCTGTTCCTAATTAGCAGGAGCTGCTGGATCATGCCTTGAGCATAGAAGAAACACAGCTTGTCAGGTTACAGCAGAGACTGAGAACAAATCTGTATTTTCTGCTTCCCACTGTTATCATCAGAAAGGTCAGGTCTCATCAGTCGTGGCTGTGTTTTAATTTAATGAATCCTTGGTAATGTTCCAGAGACTCCTGTCTCTTTTGTTTAAATTTAAATTGTTGTTACTAATCTCCTTATATTTTCATCTTTCTTCACTAATGCAATTTTGGTGAATGGATGAGTGAGCGTGAGTAAAACTAGATCTTGCTGCTGCAGTAGTTACATGGTAGAGAAATCTTCACTAAAAGTAAGAAAGAAGATAGAATAAGTTATAAATATACTCTCAGTCCTTCTAGTGATAAACTGGCTTAAATTAAGAGGCTATGCAAGATTGGAAAACAATACTAAAATGTAATTGATACCTTCAGCAGATTAAAACCTTACAAATCAAGCGTGCAGTGGATATGCCTTTATAATTTGGGACAGGGAGCAAGGGGATCTTTATCTTAACTACATGGGGTTATCTTCAAAGGAGGGAAGAAACGGGGGCGCTTGTGAGTAGTGGATGCAAAGAGCACCTGAACTGTGTCTTAATCTTGCAGCTCTCTTCTGTGCCACCATTTTATTTCTGATGTGGCGGTGCAGAAAAAATGAGCCCTTACTCATTACAAAATGAAGCCGTGCTCAAATTTTGGTCCTCACATAGGCAAAGAGGAGGTAATTGCCTTTGTTTAGTTTCATTTTTGTCTGTGTGTATTGCTTGCCAAATCTTGCCTACTTGCAACAATGTGAACTTGTAACGTGTGGGTTTCTTGCAGAATAAATACATCATCTAAGATTTTGGCTTGGTTGAAATTAAATTTAAAGTGTCTTCTGCTCTAAGAAGTTGCTTTGTAATGTTAGCGTTCGTGGAAGACTAGGAGTTGGTAGTGATTAGCAATAAAGCAAGCAGGTACTGCAGGACGCTCTGGGCTGGTCTGTTGAAGGCCCAAAATCAAAACATGTTGTTGTTGAAAATCTGGACTCTCTGGCAAAAACTGCCAGCACTACTACATCTTGTTAAAGTTTGTGATCTTGACAGAAGTTTGGTTGTGTCTAGATTAAGGTCTGTAAGTTTATTTCACTGAGTACGTAAATAGGACTTGAAGACAGTTGGCCAGAAGTACTGTAGTGCCACCTCAAAAAACGTGTGCCACAGCACGTATTTAGCTTTTTAAGCAATTGTTTTATTGTTGAAGGCAAAACAAAACATCAAAAAAAACCCCAAAACCCAACCCCACAGGAACACAACTGTCATAAATTATCAGATTGGACACTTGCAAATTACGATACTGGGAACAAAAGCTGCCCCAAAAATCTTGGTTTTCGTAATTGTAGTACAAAAGCTTCAGGCATAAGTATCCATTACAATGAAATATGTTAAAAAAAAAATTAAATAGAAAAAATAGTAATACAGTTTTGCTGAGGGCCATAAGGGCTTTTTGGGGTACTGAGCACTGCTTTGTGTGAGAGTTGCGTTTGACTTCTTACCGCTGGTGTTTGAAAGTAGTCAATAAACCAAATATCTCGTACTTGTAGCAGTTAAATTTTGCCTGGGTTTGTGTGTGTACGTGTGTGTGTTGAATCCCATGTGCACATAAAGTATATAAGCAGTCAAAAACAAAACCAGGAATTTCTCGTTTTAGCCCTTTCTATTAGCAGTTCTCCCGTTAGCGGTGCCAGTGTGGCACTAGCACTGTCCCCCTTGCTGTCCCAGCCGCGCATGAGGTTAGACACCCTGCTGCCTCGCCAGACCAGTGTCACAGTCCATCTCATACTAGGAAAAGTTAATGACAGCTTCAGAATTAACTTCTTTGTCTGCCTTCACTTGCATTCATATTTTTAAGCTAACTTTTTTGAAGTAAGATGTAGAGAATTACATGTATGAAAACATATGTTGTTTCTCTTTAATTTGTGGGAAGGAAAAAATATCCAGAACATGGCTCAGCTTAGTCCTCCAAGTTGTACCATTTCTCTGTCAAATATAACTGCAATTTGCATTCAGATGTCATATCTTCAATAATTCTTTTATTATCTTGATAGTAAGTCTTCAATCCAGAGACCGAATAGGCACAGGAGGACAAGTTGTGGATTGCAGTCGGTTATTTGATAATGATTTACCAGACGGGTAAGCTGACATCACTATGGTATAAATACAAATACAACTCATACAACAGACTTCTGCAGTAATGAGAAGACAGTGTACAAATAGGTTAATTTATTTTTATTTGAATTTAGGAGCAGGAGATAAGCCAGCTAGGATACACGGACTAGTTAATGGTTTGACCCTTGTTCTTGTCTCCTCTTGGAAAACAGGAAGTGGCATATATATAAGTAAACGCATTAAAAAAATATACTTGTCTAAGAAAACATACGTCTTTCAACTTATAGAATCGATAAACTAATATAATGTTAAATCACAGCCAGCAAACTGACTTCATCCACATAATAGTTTTGTAGCAAGGTAGTGAACATGCGGGCCTGGCTGCCTTCTGCAGTGCTGTGCAGAGGTATACACTGTTATAAAAACGGATCACTTTTTCTTCCATGTAAATCGTGATTGGAAAAGGTAATGGAGCCTGAGTTCTTGCTGTATTTACCTGCCAAAGGCTGGGTTTAGGATTTTGGTTTGTCCCTGTGAGAGTTAATGACATCATTAACACCTAAAACAGTTTTGCGAATACAGAAAAATGCTCTGTTTTAGGTTCTGGTGCTGTCATCAACTTTTTCAGAGCAAACACAGACCTTCTGAATGTGATTCTTGGCAGGTGGAGACAGGAGAAACTGATTTTTCAGATGATGAATTTTAAAACATAAATTATCATCTAAGTCCTAAACAGCATTCTTTTGTTAATATGGAGTCTGGAGAAGTTAAAAACATATTTTAAAATGCTTTTAAATTTTCACTTCAAAATGTTCCTTGTATAAATATTGCTTACTTAATTGTGTAACTGCAAAGCTAGCTCTATAGCCTCGTGTATTTTGGAGTGCAGAAGTAATAATAATTAAAAGTCATGTTATTTGAAGATGACTTTTTAATAAAAGCAAGTAGTGCTTGAAGATACTGTGAAAGCACTTCCTAGAATCAGTGGACAAAAGAAGTTAAATGCATTATTAAACATGGTGTTTTCAAGAAGTTTCTTTATATGGCTATTTGGATTTAATTAGAATTCAAGTAGTTATTGAACATGAAGGTGTGAGATTGTTCATGATAAGCCTGGTTCCAAGGGAAGAATATGTAAAATCAATTCTGGGTTGAACTTCCAGTTGTTTCCTGTTACCTTGTTCAGCTAACATGATTCATAATAGTGTAAGTCTTCCTGAGTTGGCATTTATGTTGGAAACATTTTGTGCCCTGGTTTCCTGGAAATACCACTCATTGCCTTATCTCTCAATGTCTGAATTCTAGGTGGGAGGAGCGGAGGACTGCTTCTGGAAGGATCCAGTATTTAAATCATATTACACGAACAACTCAGTGGGAGCGACCAACACGGTAAGAAATTATTTAAGAGACTGTGCGTATGATGAAGTTTGCTTGCTGTCCAGGAGCGCTGAGCGCAAGCGATTCTACGTGGCTCTGATGGGGTATTCAGCATTCCTCCAAGTCACTCTACAAATGCTATATGCTGTTCTTCTCTAACATCTTACTTCTTCAGTCCACCTAATATTTCACTCGAGAATCATTTTTACTAGATTTCTTTCCTCTGCTAATACTAGCATCTTTGTTTTCTTGTAGAGCACCTATGGTAGAACTCTTATATAAATACAGACATTACAATGTGCAGACATCGTAAGGGATGAAGAAAAGAGATTGTGATTTGCTGACCGACATTGTCTATGTACATGCTGTGACCATATAATCCAGAACCTTTAAAGCTGATTGTTACAGAGCATGTTTTGAAATCATTACCATCACCTTTTCTAATAACTGTAGATGTGTGTTGCGAAGCTGTTCCTCAGACCAGTTTTGCTGTTCCCTGAACTGTAGACAGTGTCATTGTGTATTTTTCAGACTCTTCTGCAGACTGTCTGTGCCTGCACACTGTCTCTTCCATCCTCAATAAATATTATTCCAGTCCCTGTATGGATGTATTTGACTTAAAATAATATGTACTGTTCATGCTGCCAGCTCTGATGTGTATTTGCAGTTTTCAAGCGAGTGAAGGTACTGAGCAGCTTTTTAATATACCTATCTGTATTTTTCTTGGTATATTAAAAGACTTATTCTAAGCTCTAGACACATTTACAGTAGAAAAACAAACGCAGAATGTATAATTTGTTTCAGGGATTTCCTGCATCCTTATCAGTCCCCCTTTAACGCATTTTAAATCCTTTTGAAAGCAGCATTGAGATATGAAACTGTATAATTCAGTGTTTCCTCTTGCAGTTGAGCTCTTAAGAACAACTGTTTTTTATCTTACTTAGCCCTTTGTCACCATCCTTACCTAATAAGCTTCCTTAAAAACCAGCAGGA